GTATCAGAGCCGGTTGGCTCATATTTGGACCTTTGGCTTAACCGCTGTTGAGCCGACGCTATTGTAGAGTGGTTGGGATGGATACCGCTAGTCCTTCACAATTTAACGGCACTAACTTCCCATACTATAAAGCTAGAATGGCTTGTCACCTTGAGGCGGATGATTTGGGTGTATGGAGAGTCACTCGTGACGGGATGAAACCCATAAAGAATCCCGAAAAACCCGCAAAGAGTGATGAAAAAGAAATGCATTTTAATGCTAGAGCTAAGAATTGCTTGTTTGAATCTTTTAGCATGGATGTGTTTAACCAAGTGTTCACCTTAAATACGGCTCATGAAATTTGGTTAAAACTCCAAGAGCTCCATGACGGCACAAGTAATGTCCGTGAGCAAAAACATTGTCTAGCTAAGCAAAATTATGATTCCTTTACAATGAATGAAGATGAGCTTGTTCGTGATATGTATTCTCGATTGAATCTAATTATCAATGAGTTTCACTCTATAGGATTATTAAAGCTAGATGATGCGGACATCGTGAAGAAGATCATCTTCGTGCTACCACAAAAGAAATATTCAAGCATCATCACCATCCTTCACAATATAGAGGACTTAAGCACCATGACCCCGGGCATTGTCATTGGCAAGATAGTGGCATTTGAAATGTCATGCAATATGGGTCAAGAAGAAGCCTCTTCATCGAGCAAAGGCAAAGCTCTCGCTTGTAGCGAAAAGAAAAAGATGAAGGGCAAGAAAGTTGAGTCAAGCTCAAGCTTAAGCTCCTCAAGTGAAGAAGAAGAAGATGAGGATGATAATGATGATGAACAAGAATCAAGCGATGATGATCAATCTTCCTCCTCCACCTCCGACCTTGATGAAGAATCAATCAAATTAATCAACAAGGTGGAGAAGATGATCCAAAGGCTCAATGTCAAGGGTGTGCCCATCCAAATTCAAGATCTCATTTTCACCAATCAAAAAAATGAGCAAAGAAAGAGATGATGCTACGGATGCGGCGAGATGGGGCACTTTGTGGAAGTTTGTCCAAACAAGCCCACACCCAAGATAAAGAAGAAGGCGTGCAAAAACAAAGCCCTCACAACAATAAGGTCATGGGATGATTCTTCAAGTGAAGAAGAAAACCGTCACAAGAGGCGAGGTCTCAAGCACTCATCATCAAGCTCTTCTCGTGTGTGCCTTATGGCACGAGGTAACAAAAACTCATCCTCTAGTGAGAGTGATAGTGATGATGATTTACCTTCTTACAATACAATTGTGCAACAAAATCTTAAATATGCTAAAATTTGCACTAGTCAACAAAAGAAGCTCAAAACTTTAAAAGAAGAGTTAGGTAGTTCACAAGAAGCATACAAGAATTTGCTTGAACAATATGAAAACTTTGCAAATCTCAATGTTGAACTATCTACTAAAATTGAGCAACTTGAGGCTAGTGCAACAACAAATGCATGCACAATTAATGATAAGCAACTTGAAAAGAAAAATAAAAAATTAAAAGAAAAGTTAGCTAGCTCACAAAATGATTATCAAAGTTTGCTTGCTAAAATGGAAATCATATGCAAACATTGTGATGAGCTAACAAATCAAGTTGCTAATCTTGAGGCCGTAAAAAATACCCCCACCAAGACATCTAAAAGAAATGACATAATTAAAAAGGATGCATCTACCTCTTGCAATGATTTATGTTTAGACTTACCTTTGTACAACCAAGCTTGTGTTAAGAAAGTGATTGTAGATACATGCACACAAGAGGTTACAAAAGAGAATGAGCAACTCAAGCAAGAAGTAGCTCGCCTCACCAAGGACTTGACTCAAATGAAAGGCAAGGCGAAGCAAACCCAACTTCATCAAGATAACACCGTCAAGGGAGTGAAGAAGCTTGATGAAGGACAAACCGAGGTTTGCTACGTGTGCCACAAAGAAGGCCACAAGTCCTATGAGTGCAAGGTAAAGAATGGGGGAGGAGCAGAGAAGAAGGAGAAAAAGCAAACAAGCAAGCTCTCCAACACCTACACCAACAAGGTGGACAAGAAGGCCTCCACACCTTATCTCTTGAAGAAGAAGAAAAATGACAAGGTGGTGGCCATCAAGGTGAACAAGCAAGCAAACAATGGGGTCAAACGCTTTTGGGTGCCAAAGGAAATCATTTCCAACATGAAGAGCACCAAGAAGGTTTGGATCCCGAAAGGGAAGTAAGAAGTCTGTCGGTCCTCGGGGAATTTGGAGACTTGACAAAGTATGGGTGCATTTCATGGGGTGCATCATGATGGACAAAATCATTGCCAAGTGGGTTAGTGAATACTATGGACCCAAATTCCCCTTCCCATGTTAGGTAACTAGATTCAATTTACTTCAATTGGTATTAGATTCAAATTTTTTCCACAATTGGTATCTTTTAACATCTAGTTACTCTTCATGCCTATGTTTGCATGTGAATTCTTATATCTTTTGTCATGCATACACTAGGTATATCATATGGTAGGCTTGCTCGGTTTCATTCTTAACCCTTGGAGCAAACCTACATGGTTCACAATTGTTTACGAGCTCGGCACATAGCTTGTCTTACTATTGTTTGTCTAATATGTGCCAAAGTCCAAATTGTAGATAATTTTCTCCCAAATATCATCTTTCAAGTGGTATTTTGACTCCAAAATCAATTGTGCATGAGTACTACAAGTATTCCATGTCTCCATGCACAAATTTAGGGGGAGGATCATCTACAAGATGGACGCTTTGAGACTAACACCTTTTTCAAGTTTATCATGTGTGTAGTGGTCTCATTGCAAGGAAAATGGAGTCCCCGAAGAGATGCATCGTTCTTCAATTGGCATCATCATGTTGATTTCATTTCATATTTATATGCTTTCTCCATGCATTATATAGATTAAACTCTCTTGTGCAACAAATTGTTAATTATGCATATGCTTTACTTTCTACCATATGCATGCATATATTTAGGGGGAGCTTAGTCTATATAATGCGAGAGTCAAATTTTGTGATCCATTTCTCTCTATACACAAAGGATCATGAAATTTGACCCTCCCTTGTGCTACTAATGTCTTCCTTTTTAGTGTTTGATGCCAAAAGGGGAGAATTTAAAGGACCAAAAGCAAGCATCAAGTTGATGTCTACAAGTGGTAATGGTCCGAGAAAGGGAGGAAAGTGAATTATGGATTAGTCTATGTAATGGGAGAATTTTTTTAGAAAGATAGGTTCTAATCCATAATATCACATGAGGACATTTGCAAAGGCAAGACATGCTTTTGAGTAAAGTTTTAATTGGTATCTATCAATTAGTATCATATAACCTTGCCCTTTGCATTGCATCCTAGCAAGTAGATAATTTTTAAATTTAAATTTTTTTATCATTTGCTTGCTTTGGTCGTGTTGTCATCAATCACCAAAAAGGGGGAGATTGTAAGGAAAATGGACCCCTGACCTATTTACTTTGGATTTTGGTGTTTGATGACCAACACAACCAAATTGGACTAATGAATTTGCAAGTGTTTGTTTTGTAGTCCAGTAGGGTGCAAGACGTAACTTGGACGAAGGCGACATGATGATCTGATGATTAACACCTTAAGCAAGACCTTAGAAGCATAAGAAAAGACCCAAGATGTCAAGCAAAGTCCAAGCATGAAGATAGCAACCAAGCCGTGCGCAAGATCGCAAAGAAACGAGCTCGCAGAGGCGACCGGACACTGGACCGGACATTTGGACCGGTGGTTTCGGCAAGCAATGCGACGGACGCAAGGAGGACCGATTATTATAGAACCGAGCGGACGCGCAGAACGCAGCGTCCGATCGAGCAATCTGAGAGGTTCCAGCGCTGAATCGCGACCGGACGCGTCCGGTGGTGAAGCGACCGGACGACAGCGGCGTCCGTCCGATCGGTAGTTCGCGGCTAACGGTCGGGAGACGACGGACGCGTCCGTCGGGGCGATTCAGCGTCCGGTCGAGAGTGATTTCAGCGGGAGTTCAACCCCAACGGCTACTTTCTCAGTGTGGCTTATAAATACAACCCCCAACCGGCCATTTGAGAAAAGTGGAGCTGAGGAAATATATCAAGAGTGTTGATACACTATTTAAGTGATCTCCACATGCATAGTGCTTAGTGTTTTATTAGGTGATTAGCATAAGTGCTTTGCGAAGTGCTTAGGTTGATTAGACCACCGCTTATGCGCTTGCTCTAAGTGTTTGCCTAGTGTTTAAGTGAGGTTTGCATACCTCTTGCCACCCCGTGCTTGTGAGCACAAGTGTTGTACATCGGAGGGGCTTGAAGTCTTGCGAGATCACACCAACCGCGTTTGTGGTGTGGCCGCCACCGTGTACCGGAGGGAACAAGGCCCATGCGTTTTGGCGGAAGCTTGATAGTGAAGACGGCGGGGAGCATCCGGGAGAGGCTTGCCGAGAGGCACATCGGAGACCCACTTGCGCGTGGAGAAGACCCGAGGCTATCCACAGAGTTACCCGACCGGGAGCTTGGCCCTTGCGAGGGATTCCTTGCGAGGGGCTCCAACGAGGACTAGGGGAAGCTTGCGCGCTTCTCGATACCTCGGTAAAAATACCGGAGTCGTCGACGGGAGTTTGCATATCTCTACCTTGCTCTTTACCTTCCGCATTTACATTGATTACTTTACTACGTTTGCGATAGAGATAGCAACACACTAGCAAAATCATAGTTGCACATCTAGATAGCTTGTCTATTACATAGGTTTTGCTAGGGTTAGAAAAAAAGGCCATAATTTAAAGTTAATTTTTTAAATTGCCTAATTCAAACCCCCCCCCTCTTATGCGTCCACGTGTCCTACAAACAGCAAATTACAGTTGCTCCACTTGGCGTTTCACGATGGAAAGGTACGGTAACAAATTGAAGCACGAATTAAGTTGAACTTGGGTGTGAAATTGACCAAGTTTCTTTTATCGCTTGTTGTTGTTGGCGTCTGCTTCAGATATGGGTTCAACCAGAACGTCCTAGTAAGCAACTCAGAGCTGCACTGGGCGGCCTAAAGGGTCTGCATCTGTCGAATATCTATCCTGAGTACAATTATCTCTCATGGACAACGTTCCTGCTGGAAGCTGCACCGTTGCTGACCAGTTCCACCTACTAGATGGCACTACATTCCACATATCAGGTTGAAGAATGCCCTGCAGAAGTAAAGAGGTCTACTGAGAACAGGCCATTCTTAAAAATATCAACTAGACCATTCAGGTTAATAATTTCTTCCCTAAATGAGAATAGTTTCAAGGAGCATAAGGATGATGATATACAGCCTAATAAGAAAATGACAAACCAAAAAAATGGATATCATGATCATTATTTCCTGACCAATGAGGCAATGAGCACTCATAAATTTTGGAAATTTCTACCATCAACTGTTTTGTGTGAGAAGGAAATAGCTCAACACAATCGAACATGATATCCAATATAAACATTGGACATTCTCATAAACAATATCATGGACGAACCTTGCTAACAGGGCTCCCGGCGTATGTTTCATAAGGACCTTCTTTTGCAGCAAGTTCAGCAGAAGCTTTCAACGAGTGATAATAAATAGTTTCAAAAATATCTTTATTTAACTGCTGGGCCTGGAACAAAATTTCATTATATTACATTACATTACATATCAGTCTATCAGCAAAATACAACGTTGCATAACCACACTTTCCAGCTTGCAAAATTTACCTCTGGTGAATCAAATGGCATTCCTAGTAGAATAAAAGTATCTGCCAAGCCTTGAACGCCTATTCCAATTGGCCTATGCCTCATATTTGACCTCCTTGCATTCTCAATGGGATAAAAGCTAATATCAATGATTTTGTTGAGATTACATGTAACAATCGAAGTAATCTGTCATAGCCAACATTATGTAAGTATTATTCAGACTGGTAAGGCAGAGTATGCATCTATATGAAATGTGAGATAGACAAACCTCAGCTAATTTATCAAAGTCAAAGTATCTATTTTTTGATCCACTGCTACCAACAAGCTTAGCTGGATGAGACTCTATAGGAACACCCTGAAATATGTGCAAAGTGTAAGGTACACTAATTACAACTAACCAAATTTATTGGAAAAAAAAGTTGGCATGTACCTTTTCCCTCACAAAACGTGGTAAAGCAATTGACGCAAGATTGCACACAGCAGTTTCAGAAGGACTTGTATACTCAATTATCTCAGTACACAAGTTGGAGGACTTAATTGTGCCAAGATTTTGTTGGTTACTTTTTCTGTTGCAAGCATCATGCACATCATCACATTTTAGAACCAGACCTTTGGATGTTTAAGTAGAACAGGCACATGTGGTAAAAGAATGGCCTATTTAGAGGAAATCATGCAAAACAATTCCATCCTTACAAAATAGTCAAATAAATACCTTGTAAAGCATATAGGGAGTTCCAGTTTCTATCTGTGCCTTTAAAATATCGAACCAGAGGGCCTGCGCTGCAACCACTTTCTTTGCCTTGCCCTGAAATCACATAGCTGAGTCATCAAACATATCGAGATGAAAAAAAATGTATATCCAGGTCCAGCATCATATAGCTGAGTCATCAAACATATCGAGACAAAAAAATGATCCAGGTCCAGCATCCAGCTTACTTCTCTTTCATATTTCTGGTACAGATTCTGAAACTCGTCACCCCAGCAATCAGCCAAACCAGGAGCTTCATTGGGGCAAAATAGTGACCACTGTTCATTACGTTGTACCCTTTCCATAAATAGATATCAGGAACCCACAGAGCATAGAAAAGATCCCTTGCACGATTCTCTTCCTACAAATTGCACACAAGAAACTTTTCACGGATGGGGTAGTCGAATATAATAGCATGCCAAACATTCAAAGCGCATTCCACATACAGTACAGTATGAAGATAATAATCAAGTGCCAAAAAGTTTTCAATCACAGCTGATTATTTTTCAAGAATGTGTGTTATTGTTCAAGAAAGCTTTACCATTCCATGGTTCTTTCTTAGATCAAGGAACTCAAAGATATCAGGATGCCAAGGCTCTAAATAAGGCCACGTTTAGTTCCAAAAAAGTTTCCCAAAAAGTGCTACAGTAGCTATCACATCGAATCTTACGATACATGTATGGAGCATTAAATGTAGACAAAAAAAACTAATTGCACAGTTTGGTTGGAAATCATGAGACGAACGTTTTGAGCCTAATTAGTCCATGATTGAACACTAATTGCCAAATAAAAACGAAAGTGCTACAGTAGCCAAATTCCCAAATTTCGCCCAACTAAACACGGCCTAAACAGCAAATGCACCTAAATGTAAGGCACCTGTCAGAAATCCTCGACAAACGTGGAAATAGGGTCCAGTCTAACTTATTGATGTTACTTACCTTTTCTCTTGCCTCCACCTTGATCAACATAACGGGCAGTATCATTGAAAACACGTAGCATAGGAACAATTCCATTAGAAGTTCCATTTGTTCCTCGAATGTAACTCCCAGTAGCTCGAATATTGTGAATTGAGACACCAATTCCTCCAGCAGATTTGCTTATGGCAGCACATTCTGAGAGAGTATCATAAATTCCTTCAATACTATCATCTTTCATGCAGATAAGGAAGCAGCTACTTAGCTGCATAACAATAAATACAAGGATGAGATTGAAGGTACAGTTTAACAACTAATATTGCACAATGAACGCTATTTTCTTAGAAAGTAGCAGTACTTGCGGCCTTGGAGTGCCAGCGTTGAAAAGGGTTGGGGAAGCATGAGTAAACCAGCGTTGAGACATCATGTGGTATGTTTTGATAGCAGATTCAATATTATCCTTATGTATGCCGACAGAAACTCTCATCAACATATGTTGCGGCCTTTCTGCGACCTTTCCACCAATTTTCAACAGATAGGACCTCTGAAGAGTCTTAAAACCAAAATAATCAGAGTCGAAATCTCGGTCATAATTTATCTCACGCTCCAAGCGAGCAGTATTCTGAAATGATGCAGAATTCAAAGTTGAGTACTCTGTTTGTGAATTAGTAAGAAATAGAGTAAGTACACATATGTGCCAACGTAAATGATAGCTGCCAATAATTTCAATTTGTATTTAGTCTCTTTCATGGCCTGTTTATAGTATGAAACTACCAAAGAACCATATTGGATGCTAAATACTACACCCTTGTAACAACCAGTGACAGAAACCAGAAAGTAGAATCACACAATCTATATAAACGCCAAAAAGCATAACTCATGTTTTCCTAAAATACACTGCTACTTAGGCTGTTAGGCACTTAACCTGTGCATCACACCTTCATAATGATCGTGAAGACATCATCAGCAATCAGGGGAGCCATCAAACCAGATTTCTCATCGTAATGGGTATAGAAAGCCTTTACCCTGCCATACAAGGTCAAGAGAACCAAATTACAGAACGGATAGTCAAGCTCTCCTCCTGGAGTAGACAAAACAACACACCACGTACGTCGCTGAAAAGGATGTCATGGTGTTCTTGTGCAGATTGGAGACCGCGATCCTCGCCGCTAGCTTCACAGCATGGGAAAAACAGAACGCCAAAATCAGTCAATAACTGTGCAGTCGAGTCGCTCAAGCAGCAGACCAAAACATCCCGCAGACGAATCAATTATTTTGGGGGCCTGCGGGGGTGGGGGTAAGAAGAGCAGTCACCGATGCGTAGTCGGGGTGCGAGGCGGTCAGAGGTTTAAATGCCTCGAGAAATCGGTGATCGCGACGAGATTAGATGACAAGGACGTTTTGATTTTGAAATGATGTATGGGAGAAGGTAGAATCGCCCTGAAGCGCGGGAGAGGGAAAATTTCTCCCGCGCGTTTCCAGCGAAATTGGGCAGCGTTGGCGCCTTGGCGGGTGGGGCCATGACGCGTACATATCGCACGAAGAATAAAGTTCTAATAAAATTTATGTTGCAGTTCGAATTTCATTCTTTTGATGATATATATAGCATCAGTATATCTTTAATTGATCGAAGAATACAGCGTAGTTGAATAGAATTAGATACTCAGCTTTGAACCTTCAGCAAAATATAATAGTCTGAGCTGAGATCATAGGGCCGAACTGATCCAGAAGAGCTCAAGAGCATTGATACATGATACATGATACACACACACACACACACACAGAATACAATACAATCTTACAATTATAGTGAAAAAATTTGGGATACTTCTTTGAGATCAAAATAGGGAATGATATTAGCTGATGAGTGATGACCAAGCACTCTTACAAATCTCAAACAGGGAAGGCCAGTAGACTGGGTTATAGCCATTGGCCGCACAGGAGGATCATGAGTCATGCCTGCTGTCTGCTGATGTGGGATGAGCTGATGAACCTTTTCTTCTGACTGCTGCCATCTGATAATATGGCGATGCCACAGGCTAGTTATATGATGAGTCACTTGTAGGTCGAGCTTGTCCAGACTCCAGCGTGTTCCTAAAATGGTCCAGGTCTCATGATCCCATCATCAGGGCATCCATTGAATGATACAGTGTCCTCTCTGCTGGAGGTATTGATGGAATGTTAGAACTGTATATACAATGCTGGAGCCTCTTGCTGATTGCCTTCCATAAGCTGAGGCTGCTTGCTGACATGTTGCTGAGCTATAACCATTGGATGGTCATGATTAATGCTAGCTCAGCGCTCCACCCTGCATTAAGACAGTATTAAGTTCCTATCTGGGACAACAAGATATAGCTTCAACAGGAATGTGCAGTAACAGGTGCATGCAATGTACTGAGTCTCCGACCAAGAACAAGAAGTATGGTAGGTAATACAAGATTACAGAATGCAAGTGATGATCATCAATAGACATTGCAATCAAATGATGACAAAATAGGTATTTCTGACAACTGATTATTGATTAGCCACTGAACTTGAGAATCCAAGCCTATATTTTTCACGGAGTCTATACTATGCTAAGGATTCAGTAGTCCATTGGTTTTTATGTTGCAGCTTTCCTAAATCCTATGTAAGCAGAGAAACAAAACATACTGCAGTGATAAACGGAAAAAAGGGAAATAACATTTCTGCACCACAGTTAAGTATAATTTATTCTTGATAATTATAAAGAAGATGACACTACGACAGAATCAAAGTTCTGCTACAAAAAAGGAATTAAACATACCCTAAAATTAAGCTCTTCCGATTTCCGAAAGTATATGTGATTCACATCACTCCTTGCAACAATTGCACAGCATGAACTTATAGCAAGCACAGTACAGTGAACCAGGACTAGTACTCTAGTGGACCATAATTGAGATCAAGTAAGCAGGGTCAGGCATTATGGTTTCCAGCTTCAAGTATATCTTTGTACCTTGCATCACAACCTGCCCTCCAATGAAAAATTGTAATGCAAAGGACTTCTGCAGTGCATATTTTGCTTTGCTTATCATATCCTGCCCTCATCTGCAATAAAGAAAATGATGGTTTCCCAAATGATGAATTGAAGCTTACAAAATATAAACATGGAAAATAGTACTATGCCACCAAACTTTTCAACATCTGGTGTTTCTACTGATGTCCTAGAACTACAAGAATAATCCAAATGCGAAATATGCATTCAGTCCTGATTACTGTAATGTTTGAACGATGCACCCAAATAGCAATGCAAAGTTTCAACAGCACCCACATGAAAACCAAAAGGCAATTGTTGTTTCCTGTGAAATTCCTACTGTGCAAACAGGCAGCAATGCTTCAGACCTGTTTGTGCATTGTTTCAAAATAAACAAAACTTCACATGCATAAATAGTTTGAAAGTTGAAACGAAAAAAGAGTTTGATGGAAACTGACAAACAAATGTTTCCACAAAAATATGAATTAAGAAAGACAAACTAGGCTCCTCAGATGTCTCTTCATCTCCACACAATGAACAGCACCTCGCTGCTTTCAGGAATTGGAACGATATAGGAGGTCAATTTCAATCATCACAGGAGTACTCAACCTTAATTAAGCAGAAACAGTGCAGCAAAGAAGCAGCTGATAAACAAGAGTAACCCAAACATTGATCTATTGAAGAAAGGAACTCGGCTCCTCAGATGTCTCTTCATCTCCACATAGTGTTCAGCGTCTCACAGGAGCTGCTTTCAGGAATTGGAACGAAATTGGAAGTAAATTTGGTCATCACTGGAGCATCCAACTTTAAAGAAGCAGATCTGGCACGGCCGTTCGGTGTACCACGTCTTTGCATGAACAAGAACCAGATTATACAGCCCGAGCTTCAAACAAAACACTCAGGTTCTGAACGCGCAAGTGAGAAGATCCTACTCATTAAGCCACTAACCGCAAAGCATAAATCACCAAAACCAAAATCCTCGACTGGGCGAAATGCCCAGCAAGCTATTAGGTAACGAATCGTTGAAACAGTAACACTGAAGCCGTTTAGATTCCAGGTAGGAGCTAGGGTTTGGCCGTTTGGGCATGCAACAAGATGGTTACGGAAAGAGAAGGTTGGAGACGACGTGGTACCATTCATATTTCGGGCGAAGGGGTTGCAGCCGAAACAGGACTACAGGAGCCGAAGACGCTGTGGGCGCCTACGCTCACACTCGGGGGCCGCGGCAGCCGGTGCACCGTGCACCACCACAACTGCCGCCGCCCGCCGCCGCAAACGAGAAAGAGGCGAGGGACTTGTGAGGTGAGGTCTCGAGGGAGAGGCAACGCGGAGACGGGACAAAGGCCGAAGGCGTTGGGCTCTTGGGCTTTAAAGGAGCGAATGGCGACAGATGGGCCTTGCCCCTGGCTATGGCCCATGAGCATGAATAAAAGAGTTCATTTCAATAAACTCCCTAAATAGGAAAAGAATCCATTTGAGCTTCGAACTATCGGTCTATCCCTAAGTTTCTTCCTCAAAATTTTGAAACCAGAAATCTTATCCCATAAAATTTACCTTCCTGTCCTGACTTAAAATGATTTTAAAGACAGTTTCACCATTTTATATAGTTATTAATATAAAAATATGGTAAATATTTGATAAGATTTTTAAATCGTATAAAGATGTCTTCAAGCTTGTAAAAAATCAAAGAAAAATATGTATCCACTAGTTTGATATTTTTCTCTTGGAAGGCAAGATCGAAGCCCTCGCAAACTCGCAGGTAGTCTTTTGCAAGTTTGGAAGCTCATCGCATGACGCCTAATCGAGTCTTGACCACCGAGAATAACAAATGCTTAACGAGATTCTTGACTTGTCACAAGTGCTCGAGACTTCTCTTTCACTCTTTGACTCAATTTCTCTAAATCAAACACTAGGATTTAACTTGAATCGTACAATCTCTCAAAGAGATGTCCCCGGGGAAAGGTTTCACAAGGCTTAGGATATGTCTAATATCACTAGGATTCACATCCCTCAAAAGGATAGGTCTAGGGGACATAGATACCACCATCACACGAAAACTAGTTATTATACTATGAGAATCAAAAGAGAGCCATTCGATTTTGATACCTACTAGCCGTTGGACCAGGAGCAGATTTACATGTTCTAAACTTTCGGAGTACAACAAAGCAGTATGGATCGTTGAAAAACGCTATAATCTTAGTTTGTTTTGATTTTATGAAATTGGACACTTTGGAGATATGCCAAACTTGGGTGGTCAGGTATGCAATACCGGAACATCGGTATTGCAATAATTAGCTCATGAAGTTAGAAACCCATGGAGGCGACTCTCAAATCTCATTTAGATTTTCTCCAGCAATAGAGACTTGTCAATACACTACATCTCCATCTTGACATGACGTACCTGCAACCTTAAGGATAAAGAGTGAATCGACATTCAACCACTTGAGTTTTGTGTCTTTGCATATGCCATTTCTTCTCAAGGGTTGCAATCTTGTTGCCTTAACAAAACCATCTTGGGCATGTGACCTGAACCTGACTCAACCTATATGATTTAACTAGTGGCTTCAAGTCACTTCATATGATTCAATGATGATTTTATCGTCTGCAAAATATGACTCCTTGTAACTCGATTTGTTCACCAACTTAATGTAACTACTCTTGTATTCACCTTTGCCATGGTACCTCGATCGCCAAGTAGTCACTTGCCCTTCACTTTCTCTTGGTCCTTTGAAACATTCTCCTTGCTACTTTCACCCTATCGAGCCCTTCTCGTTTTGTTTTCAAATCAATATTAAGCATTCTCTGTAAAACATTATCGGTATTGATTCTAACTTGATTTCTATCCATTTGCTTTAACAATACTCCATATACACATGTATGCCACATGTTTGCACAAGGTCGTGTCGCTTTTCCTTTTTGTACCTTGGCTTGCCATTTCATCATAATATCAATCATATGGAATATCACATTTGTTCGCCATACAATTGAGTCTTGATTTCCTGTGAGCTCAACATTTTAAAAAATCAATATATTACTCAGCATTTAGCAAACTTGTTATTGTTATTCGATTCCCCCAAAACCATCAAAGGGCTAGATGCCCGCGCCAACACACGAGCCTGCCACCTCGTAGCGACCTCCATCACCCACTACAAAGACGGACCTTCGCAGTGGCACGATGCCTCGAGGCAAGCATGCGTGTAGCACGGAGAGGAGCAATGGAGCGAGTGTGAGCAACGGCAATGATGACCTCCGCGGGATGTAAGATGGGGGATGAGGTGTCAAGGGAGGAGGTGGGGGTTTAGAGAGGAAGGAGTTAGGCAGGAGGGAAAGAGAAAGTGGAAGAGGACACGGTCTGACGAGTGACGCCATGGTAAAGCCGACATTTTAACATCTCCCTTATCTTTCGTCAAGTCAAAGAAAACTTGACATTTTAACATTTCTCTCATCTTCTCGGCATTATTTCTATGACTGCGATGTTATTTAGTAAATTCACATAATTAAGTACGTAAATTCATATTATGAAATTACACTGACAGCGTCATTTTATTTCGTATTCGCTACTCTTTAACAAAAGATTCTGCAATTTTAAACACAAATAAGGTAACAATGATAGGTGGGCCCATTCTGTTCCATCCAACGTGTCTTCTCCCTTCCATCCCTAGAACTAGAGGCTTTTCCCTATGTGCTATTATGAAAGATGCTCCATTCCTATATGTCACTAAAAAGTTCACACGGACCCTGGTGCCATGACGCTAAACTTTCTTGTCCTCCACGCCATTCTGTCCGCCTTCTGTTAGATTTCCACCGTTTACTAGCCCTGACATGTGGGCCCGACTAGGAAAAATGTATAAAATGCCCCATCTCTCTCCCAATCCCTCCCCATGCACGTCTTCACGCGCATCAATACAAGCAAGAAACGATGGACACCGCGTTGGGAGCTCGTCGCTGGTTTCCATCCTCTTCTCAACAAAACCGCTGCTCCGTGATGTTGTTGAGCGCCTGCTGCGCCAAAATCCTCGGTGCGACGAACCTCGCCGCGGCGGCCACGTGAGCGACGTCCGCAACGACCAAGCAGGCAGCGGCCACAGGCGCCATCGTCGTCATCACCGAGCCGTCGTTCGTCGGAAAGGTACAGGGGCTCGCGGCCGCCCTATCCCGGCTCGCCGTGCCCGCCCCGCCTCGACGCGTTCGACCAGGTCGCGCGCGGGCGTCAGGCGGCGCCGCTGCCTGTGGAGCTCGCGGCCACCCGGCGGAGCTTCGGCAGCGGCCTCGACGTCTCCCTGCGCGCAGCCGCTCAACGTCGTGGACCTCCGGCCGTGGCTGCTTGACGCTCGCCTCCCCACGCGCAGCTGCCCGACGGAGCTCCCAGCTGCCCGACGGAGCTTAGGTGCCTGACGAACTCGCATCGGAGGAGCTCGCGGCCACCCGACGGACTCGCTCATCGGAGCTCGTGGGCACCAATCGATGGTCACGGTCGCCTGACGAACTTGCTCGGTGGAGCTCCCATGCCCTAGCATGCGTGTGGACACCTGTCGGAGCTCCCGTCGCTCGTTCGTGCCACGTGAGCTCGCCCCGCCGGTAGCCACGCGCTCGCCCGCGCCGCTGGTAGCCGCGCGCTCGTTCGCGCCGCCGCCTGCGCCCACGTGCTTGCTCGCCGTCCGCCGCTCGTTCGCGCCGCGCGAGCTCGCCCACGCCGGCCGCTTGCTCACAACGAAGGAGAAAGGTATGGAGGAAGGGATAAAGAAGAGAGAGAAAACATCCACATTTATTATATGTAGACACAGAGAAAGATATTCTGGACATTATCACTGGTCGGGCCCGTATGTCAGGGCTGCCAAACGGTAGAAACGTAACAGAAGGTGAACGAAATGACGTAGAGGAAAAAAAAAAGTATTAACGTCGTGATAACAAGGTCCGTTTTAACGCCACGTAACGTAATGCCACACGTGGAAAAGCCTCCTACAACTACCCTCCGTTCGCGCGACGCGGACCATGCATCTCGATTATCTCCCGAGCCGACCAGCGCCCAGCGGCGCCAGAACCCAGAAGGTTCGCTCATGGTGCTCACGTCCATGCTCCCGTTCGCGCCCTCGAACACCTCGCTATCCTACTCCTCCCGCGCCTCAACCGCCGCCGCGTTCGCTCCTCGTGGGGTCCACTTCGCCGCGGCCGGAAGGAGCGGCGGCGGTGGCGGCCAACCGCTCGCGTGCGCTGCGCCTCGCCGCCGCGGACGGGCTCCGAGGCGGCGCCGCGGAGGGGGCCTGGTGGTCTGGGCGTCGGCCGACTACTACGCGACGCTGGGCGTGCCACGCGCCGCGAGTAACAAGGACATCAAGGCCGCGTACCGGAAGCTCGCGCGCCAGGTGCTCGACGCTTGCCC